TTTTTTAAATTAAGATAAAATTAAACTAATAATTAATAGATTAAAAATTAAATTAAACCTTACGTTAAAATTGTTTATACGTATACTAAAATGCAGTAAAGCTTTGTGAATGGAACGGTCTTTCCAATGCAGAAATTTGATGGAATCACTCAATTGATACATTCGAAATTTCCCCCTTTAGTCTCCTTCGGTCTTTATAGTCGTGCCATATCCAATCGCGCAGTGACTCCCGGTCGGTTGGTCTCACATACTTTAGTGGATAGAACGGTGGACTTCCGGTAACATCAACTTTTTCTCTCTTTGCGGTTTTTTTTATGCAAACTGATTTTTTTTTTTTTTTACGATGGGACGGAACTCCGTAACATCAACTTTTTCTCTCTCTGGGTTTTATTTATTTATTTATTTTTTATTTTTTATGTAGACTAAATTTTTTTTTTGACATTGAGTAATACACGAATTCAACACTTTAAATTTATATGAAAAGTTATTTATAAAAAAAAAAAACATTTTTGGCGTAGACTTATGTTGTATTTCAGCATAGTTATAGAAATGTAAATGACTTGTATAGATACTTAGGTGGTCATGATTATAAATAACTGGGCAAAGAGGCCTATGTTCAAAACTTAAGAAGTTGCTATCATTAGTCAATCTATCATTTTCGCCAATCTCTAAAACTCATAGTTTGTCTGGTTTCTATTGGCATTGTTGTGACCAATGATACCTTCACTCTTTTCTTGGTTTTTCATGTTACTTCTTGCAATAATTTTCTTTCAGATAAATGTGGTTTTGGCTTCTGGTCACTGTCAAAGCGACCAACAGGAATTCTTGCTTCAATTGAAGAACAACCTCCACTTCCATTCCGATGTATCTCTCAAACTGATGAAGTGGAATCAAAGTGTAGATTGCTGCACGTGGGAAGGTGTAACATGTGATGTCAGAGGTCTTGTTACCGATCTTGATTTGAGCAACGAATGGATTGTCGATGGAATGGACAATTCAAGTAGTCTTTTCAATCTCCAGCATCTCCGGAGTGTAAATTTGGCAAACAACAACTTTAGCTCCATCTTTCCTTTGGCGTTTGATAAACTTTCAAACTTGAGGGATCTTAATCTCTCAAATGCTGGCTTCAAAGGGCAAATTGCAGAAGTGATAACAAATCTCACACAACTTGTCTCTCTAGACTTTTCGTCCAACAGTTTTTCTGGTCCAATCCCATCTTTTTCATTTGCCAAAAATCTTACCCACCTAAACCTTGCCTACAATCAGTTAAATGGTTCAATTCTCTCCACTAATTGGTCAAGTCTTTCCAAGCTTGAGTTTATTAATTTGAGAGACAATGCACTAAGTGGAACTCTCCCCGTAACTTTGTTTGAAATTCCATCTTTGCAAAGTTTAGTACTCTCACAAAATCAGTTCACTGGTGAATTGCATGAAACCCCAGAATTGGCTTCCTCTACATTGCAATCCCTTGAGTTGGATGGTAATATGTTGAATGGATCTCTCCCAGTGTCTGTATTTGGACTCCAGAGCCTCCAGGTCCTCATCCTTTCTTCCAATAATTTCAGTGGTCCATTAAATTTAAATTCAATTTTGAACCTCACGAATCTCTCTACTCTTGATCTCTCATTCAATAGCTTGTCCATCAATGCAACCATTTCTGATCCTGCTTCTTTTCCCCTGATTCACACATTAAAATTGGCTTCTTGCAAGCTGAAAAGATTCCCAAATTTCTTAGAGGAGAAATCTAAACTATCAATTTTAGATCTTTCAGCCAACCAGATTGATGGGGAAATACCTGATTGGGTTTGGACTAAATCATCTCTTGGTTACTTAAATCTTTCTTATAACTTTTTGGTGAATTTGCAAGGCCCTTTGCAAGCTCCAAGTTCTTCTTTGTCTATCTTAGACCTTCGTGGCAACAAATTCCAAGGTCAACTACCAAAGCTGTCGTCAGATTTAGCATATGTAGATTACTCGAGCAACAATTTCAGCTCTATGATACAATTCTACAATAGCTCAGGTACCTTTTCCTTCATCCTTCTTTCCAACAACAATCTCCAGGGAAGTATTCCTGAATCAATTTGTGATGCTACAAATCTTCAAGTCCTTGATTTATCAAATAATTCCCTGAATGGCGCCATTCCTCAATGCTTAAATGAGATGGAGTCGCTTAATGTGTTGGACCTGAGTAGAAATAACCTCAGCGGCAATATCTCTGATAAATTTTCAAGTAACTGTTCGTTACAAACACTAAACCTGACTAGAAACCACTTAGAAGGGAAGGTTCCTAGATCTCTAACCAACTGTGCAAGGTTGGAGGTCTTAGACCTTGGGAACAACAAGATCAGTGATACTTTTCCATGCCATTTGAAGAACATGTCTAAGTTGAAAGTCTTGGTATTGAGGTACAACAACTTTTATGAGTCAATTAATTGCCTAGATGACAAGTCCTCCTCACCACCACTTCAAATTGTTGATCTTGCTTCTAATCATTTTAAGGGAGAACTGCCTTATCGTTGGTTACACACCTGGAAGGCAATGAAGTTTGCTTCAGATGAGCTCGAAGTCCTTGTTTTGGAGGAAAATGTTCGTTTTGAACTTGATCATAACCATCTAGATCCTTACCGTCCAGTCTATGGCTGTTATGCTAAGGACCGCAGCGTGCTGAGTGAGAGAGCTCCAGATTCTTATTCTGCTATGCCTTCTCCCATTTCTTATATTCCTTCTCCCAAAGGAAATGTCCGAGTTTGCAGTGATGTTTATGGGCATGAAGGAGGTAGCAATATTTTCTCTCAAGGCATCTATTATCGATATGCAGCAACCATTACCATTAAAGGTTCTGAGACACGATTAGTGAAAATCTTAAGTCTCCTCACCTCCATCGATTTTTCATGTAACAAGTTTGAAGGGCAGATACCAGAGGTTTTGGGGGAGTTCAAGGCACTCTATGCCCTCAACTTATCACATAATGATTTTACAGGTCTAATCCCTTCATTTCTAGGAAAGTTACAATATCTTGAGTCTTTGGACCTTTCCAGTAACAACTTGAGTGGTGAAATTCCTCAGCAGTTGGGAGATCTTAATTTCCTTGCAGTTCTCAATCTCTCACACAATCAACTCGAAGGAAGAATTCCAAGTGGAAGTCAGTTTCAAACATTTTCAGAAGATTCCTTTAAAGATAACAAGGGATTATGTGGGATGCCCCTGAAGGAAAATTGCAGTGTTGTACCACCATCCGAATACAAACATTCATACGATGGAACCCATATTGATTGGAATTTCCTAAGCGTTGAATTGGGATTTGTTTTTGGCTTAGGAATTGTTATTCTACCACTTATGTTATACAAGAGATGGAGGGTGTGGTATTACAAACATACTGATGGTCTTCTTTCCAAGTTCGCTTCTCGATTGAATCAAGGAGGCAGGAATCGTGGTAGGTAAGCTTCTAAGAGTACCAAAACAAAGTTGAGGAACAAGCAGCGGCGAGGACCATTGCAAGCACAATTCTTGAAAACTTTAATCTGTGTTATGTGTCTCTATTCTTCTAAATATCAAAATTTGTCATTGTTACTAAGTCAGCATGTGATTTTTGTTTTGTTTTGTGTTGATGTGTTGTATTATCATGTGTAACTAAATATAAATGTTGTTGTTGAAAACTATTTTAGTATTTGATAATTATTTTATCTATAGTGGATGTGTTATTGTCAATTTTAATTTTTGATAATAATAATAAAATTATTAGACTATATTAAAATTAGATTAAATTCTAAAAAAAGGTATCTATCTATCTTATTTCTTTAATATTTGAAGAAAAAAATATTTTAAAATTATGTTATTTCAATAAACTACTATTAAAAAAATTAAAATACTTTATTTTAGTAATATGAATTAAACTTTTTTTAATCTTTTTTTGAGGATATTTTATTTAAATGACTTAATTTTAAAAATTTTTTCTTATTTTTTGAAAAATAAGGTAATCTATAAACACTAACTCTTAAATTTTACATATATTTTGTTTATCAAAAGATGTGGTGATTTATCCTATAATTCGGTCAAGACCTACAATCCCTGCTTAGATTAAGGAATTGAAGTGT